AGGGCGCATCTTCCTTCGATTGTTTGTAAACTGCTGATGCAGTCCGGCCAAAGTCCCCCGAAAAGTGGGTTGATGCGCCTTTGATCATATCCACATATCCATATGTTAATTTGCGCAATATAAATATTAAATTATTATTATTATTATTATTAGTATTATTATTATTATTATTATCAATTATCAGTACTCAACAAACGTAATGAACTTGTGTTCTCATGCCGCCCCAGAAACAAAGCGTTACTGCGTAATAACGGAACGAAGCTTCTAATTCTACAGCCACGCCTCTTTTACAAATTTGTGTAGCATACAAGCGATGGTTACAAATATTCTTTTCACTAAAATCCCCCAATGATTGAGCAATCACGAAACAGGCTTGTACGATGAAGGCGTAGCCGTTGTATTTTTCTAACTCGACATATATATATATATATAAATAGAATAAATGTTTGAAAAGAAAATTTGCCCTGAGCGGGATTTGAACCCATGTCCACCTGTTACTAGTCAGGTGTGATCACCACTACACTATCAGGACAACCATGCTGGCAACACGGCAATCGAAGATGTGATTTACGTTATCGGAGACATGTTCTCCCGGGTAACTTAATTTTCAAGGTGACAGGGTAGGGGAAGCCTATAACCCCATAGGGGAAGCCTATAACCCCATATGAAACCCAACTAAGGATACCCCCATAGGAAACCCAACTAAGGATCTATTTGTCATCCGCTAAGTTGACTTCGGTCGTGTATCTTTCATAGATCCTAATGTTAGTAGTTCATAACAATAGTGTCATGCCCGAGTGTTTGTCTATGGGCAGCTGTTACCGCCAAAAATATATACAATTACATATAATTTGAGGTGATATTGTTACAACTTAAATGGACAGTGCACAAAATAAACGAAGGCTCACAAGACTTCCGTAGGTATTTGAAGATAATCTTACAAGCCTAAGCAATTTCCGAACACTGAGCCGTTCCCAGACACTTCTAATTTTAGTAGTTCATAAACAATTGTGTCATGCCCGAGTGGTTGTCTGTGGGCAGCGGTGATCGCCAAAAGTACATACAGATGTAGTCATCATTTGGAGGAAGGTAGATGTAATTTGAAGAAATGCTGTTCAGACACAAATGGACATCTTGTCTTAAGCGAATGAAATAGTGAAAATATAAATAGTATACGTATGATGGACGATCCTCGCAGTAGATAGCGCTATTTGAGCAATAGCGAAATTCAGACCTGAAAAAAATCAGGCCTGTACGGGACTCGAACCACTGACCTCTGCGATACTAGTGCAGCGCTCTAACCAATTGAGCTAACAAGCCAACTGAGAGCAGGCCGTTAAGTTGATTCGTAATGAACCCGTGAAAGTGATAAAAAAAAAAATTGATGTTAGCGCGTTGCAGGAAACTCTTCAGGTGACGTCGAGGTGCTGCGGGTGCCCCATGAGTGAGGAGCTCGAAAAGTAGGGACAACGGAATGTTTACATGAATTAATTACCTGAATGGTAATCAATATAACGAATATCATTGGTTGCGCCTGATTATGATTAAAATTTCACGCCTGAAAACTACTCAGCAGTGCAATGTCAACTCTTGGGCTAGGTGCGCTCTCTTAGTCTTGCTCTCTCGCAAGAAACACTTGCGAGGGAGCGGACCAAGGCCATGACTTACAACATTATTCAGCTTTATCATGAAAAATTTGTTGATACTTTATGTGGATGAATTTTGGTTTTATCTTATTTCCAGCGGTGATAAATTTGACCTTGAGGGATGGAAGGAACAGCACCCAAGATCACGAAAAACGTTTGCTCAGGACGGCATCTTGAGGATGAGTTGGAATGTGATGATAATCAGTCGGCGAGATGCAGCACATTTAAACACTTTGAAGAAATGTTAGATCAGTTTCAGCTATGCAAAGTGAAAATGGCTACAGTGTCTTTCAAAGCTGCGTATAAGCACCTCCTGAACCTAAATCCATCTAGCTTCGTAAACCCAACTGATTACGAGAAGGAGCTGGTGAATCGAGGTAGAGAGATGTGTTTGAGTCAAAGCCCCGGTCCTCCTTTTTTTGGTGCGGTTTTGCTAAACACTGAGCTGATCGCAGAAAAGGAAGACTATTTTTATGCCATCTTTACTATTGTCTTTGGGGCTATTGCACTCAGGCTGCATGAGTATAAAACAGCTATAGACTTATTTCAGCGCTGTGATTCTCTTTTCACAGCTGATGCCACGTCAGATCCTGAAAACAAAACGCAAGCTATCGATATCTTAACAGCAGTAGCCAAGACTAATATAGGCTGTGTCTATCTGATTACGAGAGTTATGGACAAGGCTAAGGATTATCTAGAATGTGCGCTGAAGATTTTTAAAACATTTGAAAATAAAAACAAAAACAAAACGAACTTTGTAGAAATAAACATTGTTGCTATACAAACCAACTTAAGTTTAGTTTACCAGTGGCAGAAAAACTACCCAGCTGCAGTGAAGTTGCAAGACCGTCTTCTTTTGAAAGCAAAAGACCTCAGTCTTCCCTTTCCTCTGGTAGCTGCCATACATTATAATCGAGCAGAGTTGCTTTTGGAGCTCAAAGAACCTGCCAAAGCACCTAAGGAGTTGGAGACTCTGGATTCACTTTCTGAGAGGATTAACAACGAAGATGGGATATTCTCGAAATTTATATTGTCTAAAATATGTTTGGTGTATCAAATGATTGGAGAGGTGGTTCGTGCAAAGAGTATAGCTGAGTGCTTGACTTTCCCTCCTCTTTTTCCCACATCGTTATCACCCCCACTCTCGCCTTCCCCAAAATCGTCCTCTTCGGCATCAGGTTCAGGGTCGTCATCATCATCGTCACCAGTTTTATCGTCGTCACCATCATCTTCATCATCATCATCATCGTCATCTAAATTTTCTGCTTCGTCAGTTATGTCTTCATTTTCCCTTTTTCTTCCCGATTTTGAAGCTTTCTTGGGACTCTATGGAAAATTCCGTTGGGACTTCTTGTTCGCAATGATATTGAATTTAGTCGATTTTCTCTTGAATGAGGAAAACATAGACTTTGTATCTTTCCTTGACGTTTTTGTACCAAGTTGCAGAGAAACGCTAGGGAAAAACCACCCCACATATGCATCGTTTCTCTATAGGCAAGGTGTTAGACTCTTTCAGATGGAACGAAACTTGTCATCAAAGAGCTGCTTTGAAGAAGCATTAAGTATTTTGACAAGTTATGACTTCGAGTCAAATCACCCGGATTTAGCGCAATGTAAAATTGCTCTTGCAAGGCTATTATTGTGCGAGAACTTTCAAGAGGTTCCACAGTTGAAGTCGTGCCCTGATCGTAGCTGGCGAGAATATTCTTATGACGCAACAGATAGTGTTGTGAGTCCTGATATTTCATCATTTAGAGAAAACAGTAACAATTGGCACAACAACGAAGAACTAGAACAAAATGAAATTTCTGTTCAAGGGAACTGAAGAGACAAGCACGATGATCGTCTTGAAAATACATCCCAAATGGATAAGAACAGGGGAATCAACATCTCACAGAAGATGCCAGAAACACAAAATGCAGTCTGTGATGGACGGAATGACCCTCTTAGAGCTTCTTTTCATGGAGGAGATGTGGTTTCGGACAGCGGTAAAAACTCCGATGCACTCGCCAGGAATGGAGCATGTGGCTTTGACAGAGGGTGGAATACTCAATTTGTTGCCTCTCCGAAACCACAAGGAGATTCCCATGAGATTAATTCGAAAGCAAAAGGATTTCTTGGTTTAAAAGGTGGACGCCGAAGCAGTTTTTCGTCGGGCCACAATTCACAAAGGGGTCCCAGTAAAGATGACTTTGGAACCAATCACATCGGAATAGATCCCAGTTTTCTCGAACGCCATTGTTATGAGTACAATGAATCTGATAAGCACTGGGATTTTTGTGGCCCGTATGAAGATTTAGACGTGCCCTCAGGTATCCACTCCGAGTACAACAGATCTAGGCATGTGCGTGAGGTGTGCAACCCTACTCCCCCAAGTTCATTGACATATCCTGGATGTCCTGATGTTACAAAATTTTCCGCAAGAGATCATTCTGCCTTCACTAGCACCACGAAATCTCCTCCACAAACATACTTAGGTCCCGATGAGTATCAGCCTCAAGAGTCATCCCTTAACTTAGTCCTGATGCCCAAAGCTGTTCCAGCGAAGACCTTACAACTGCCTCGATCTTCAAGATTCCTCGAGGATGGACCTAAAGCAAAATCTAGATCAAAATCTAAAGCGAATTTCCCGTTGACAGTCAAAAAGTTTACCAATGGTGATGTACAAGCAAAAACTCCGCCAAATATCTCCACGGATGTACATGTGCTCGCCGAAAGGCCAACGTTCTCATCGCAGTTTGAAAGAGAAGACGACGCCCCGAGATTTTTTTCGGGCCGGGATAGTGTAGATGCTGGTCTGGGTCTGTTAAACAGTAATTCAAACACATCTGCTGACGAATCGTTGGCTGCGCTCGAGCGACGTGTGGCAGAAGCTTGCTCGCTTGTCGAAAGAACGTTGAAAGAAAGACAAGAAAGAGAGGAAACGATGAAAGAAACTGAGCAGAAAAGAAAAGAGGAGCGGACAAGGAAAGAAAAACAGGCACATGAAAAAAAAGAAAGGGAAGCAAAGGAAGCAAGAGAAACGGAGCGCAGGAATGAAAGAGTTGCAGGGAACGCGACGAGTGGTGGACGAGAAACACCTTCGCAAAACTCGGTTGGTGCTGAGGTTAGACAATGGCTTTGTGAACATTACCAGCGACTCTGCCGTGTCAAGTTCCCATGCTGCGGAAGGTTCTTTCCTTGTCATCGCTGCCACAACAACTCTGGGTGTCCAAATGACAACTCCAAAGCAAGAGAGGCGTGTTATGTCGAGTGCTCTATTTGTAACCATCAACAAGAGGTAAATAGACATGATATTGTTACGCTTAGGTTATAAGCGTGTTAACTTCGAATGTTTTATTTTTAAGATCAACCAGGACGCCCACACTTGTGCCGGATGCAAAACAAAGTTCTCAGCATATTTCTGCTCTATATGTAAACACTTCACAGGCGAGGATAAAGCTCCTTATCACTGCACAAAATGCGGTATCTGCCGGTAAGTGAAACAATATTATCGAAGGTATTGTTTTCGTTTGTTTGGATAATATGCTTATTCTCTGGAAATTATTGGCCCGCCTTAGTACCAAGTCAGGGAGTTATTGACTTGTGTTAGAGTAGAAATGAAGTATCCTGGCACCATGCATCTTTAAGGCGAGAGCGAAGAAATATTGGTTTCCTCATGCGTATCAAGTTTCTTTTTCAGTGATCATTTCAGCTTAACGAGAAGAAATACAGCGTTTTCCAGTATGAGTTAGAAATTTCCTTTCTCAACAAATTATTTTCTGCTCGAGTAACTACGCCCGAAGTGAATTTTCTACTTCCCGTTTAGCATCTACAAGGACCGCTCCTTCCACTGTGATGTTTGTAACGTCTGTCTGGACAAAAGGCTTGAAGGCAGACATTCTTGCCGAGAAAATTCAGGACATGATGAGTGCTGCATCTGTTTGGAGGTAGTTATGTAATTTACTCATCAATGCTAAGAGTAGGGAATGGGAAAAATATTTCCCAAACGATTTTGCCCTTTAGTGGAGGCAATTAACGCCTTGCACTCAATTTGGTTTTATTCACCTATCACGCACAGTGACGTCAGGTGCTTCCATTTCTTGAGTCGAAATCTGGAAGCAGGGAAATTAGATTACTCTGTGTATCCAAATTCAATATTTAACAATTAGTTCATGCTTTAGCGTGCACTATCGAGTTATGGAGCACGCGGGAAGTTTGGAGAGCACGAAAGAAGCGTAAGAGTTGCCCGAGGCGATAGCCGAGGGCAACTCTAGCTTCATGAGTGCTCTCCAAACTTCCCACGTGCTCCATTACTCGATACTGCACAGCTGAAAGCATGAACGAATTGTTTTAGAACATAGCCGGTGGAATTGTGCATCAAATCCGACGCGAAAAACGGACAACAATATCAGTTGAAGCAAATCGTGACGGCGTCTCCTTTTCCGTTGTTTTTCTCTTTTTCTGCCTCATTTAAGAACTCTAGCCCAAGGGAAAAGGTCCGAAAATTGTCTTCGTTTTCGGACTAGTAGGTCGAGTTTCTGTTTGTATCCATTGTTGTTGCGAAATATATTATTTTTCCCCGCGCTAACAATGGCCGCTTGAGCGAAAAAAAAAGTTTCTGGCGAAGCGATTTGCTGACGCCATCAGAGTGCACTATCGGCATTTTGAGGACGCTAACGTATATTGAATTTTATTGCGCGGTTCTGCTGGCTATGTTCTAATTTTATTTCGTTGATCAATTCTCTATTTCCAGGATGCTTTCAGCGGTTGTCAGATCCTGCCATGCTCACACAAGGTTCATCGAGAGTGTGCTATTGCTATGATACAGAACGGCGTGTAAGTATGCATGGAATGTCGTGATATCTACTTTTGCTAATAAACTTACAGATGGAGAAATGCTCCACTGCTGCGCTAAAAATTTGTCGGTATTCATGTAATTCTGTACTGGGTGTGTGTGGACCTGCTCGAGCTATGAGTGGGCAAGGAGTAGTTTTCAGTTACATGTCAAACGAAACACCTCCATTTCCTCATTTGGAACGAGCGAGTAAGAGTGAAACATTTACGCCAAAAACAGAGATTGTCTTTTTCGACTAAAATAACTTCGGAAAAGATAGCAAATGGCATTAAGAATCCACGTTACGGACGTTCGAACAAACAGCCTTTCTTTCCCGTCTAAATCAGTCTGGTAATAACTCCCGTGTAACGCCCTGATTGTTCTTCCTGTACCCCTTAGCTTTTCTTTGCTACAGAGATGATTTCAAGTTTGGTTTCAAGAGTCCCCTTGAATCTAAAGTGATATCATTCCACTGGCAAACTTCGATAGACTTTTAATTTTATGTAGGCCAGATGTTACTGTGGCAATCCCACACTAGTTTTGCTCGAGTTCACCTGAAATATTTCCTTTTAATTTGCAGTCGCAGCTGCCCCATTTGCCGTTATCCTTTGTACAGTCAAGAAAGGAATGAATGAGTGAATAGCAATCTCAAATCTAATGTTCAGAATTTCAAGGGAAGACAATTTTTTTCCACATTGAGCTGTTTTTCAAAGTGCCCTCCGTGATTGACGTATTCACTCTTTATCTTAGCCGCGAATTTTACCGTTTGCTCCAAAGAACGAGTGGCTCCTAATTTCTTCTTGCTGTCTGTTATTGCGGGGAAGAGACGAGCACACATGAACTCAACCTTTTAATGTCTCTCTCCTCGTGGTTCCTCTCTCTACATCTCATGATACTATGGACTAGTGTCCAATCTCCTAACACTGTCTTATCCTTGAATGAAATGGTAAATGTAACGAGCATAAAGACAAAGATCATCAATTTAGGAACCTCCCGAAAAAACAAATTCTCATTGTCAGTACCAGAGGAAATTTATAGAGAACAGTGTGGATTGTTAGTGTAGCCACGAGAGTTATTCATTTATCAGTTCTGTCGTTCGTCTTTGTTAATTGTAATTAGTATAAATAGTTCTCGTCTCGATAGTTCAGTTCTGTATATATTAGTTTGTATTTTTTCGTGCTGTCAAAATGTAAATTAAGTTTGTCAGCGTTGTTTCATGTAATCGCCTTTGAGTATTGTGTAGCCTTGTTTAGTCTATTGTTTTAGCCTTTATCCGCTATATAACATCGTAGTTGTAATTTTCATTCAGTCGTTGTTATTCCGGAGTGCCGTACAGATCTTGTAAGTAGTTACGCTTTCGTTTGTATTTTCCTGTGGTTTTTCGTATTCCTTTCGTTGCATTTTAGTTTCGTTGGGTTTAAGTTCGCATTGTTAATTGTGTATTTTTTTGTGTTATGTACAAGTGAATTGTCGAGATTAAATTAGGGTATGTATTTCAAACTGTGACGGAGTGTCAGTTACAGTTAGTGTTAAGAAGACGTTATCAAACTTGTGCGCGCGCGACTCGCGCGCGCGTGCTTTGAGATCACGTAAGTTAAAATGTCGTCAGCAAATCACGAGGACCTTTTTTTATGACGTGTGCAAGTTTTTTTTTAGAGAAGTTGAAAGTTTTTGAGTGGCAATTGCTTGGCGGCTATTGGTATTTACCTTGATTACCGTGAGTTTACCGTCAATCGTGTTACGAATAAACGTGTTTGTTTGATTTCCGTTTCCGCTTCCGAACATTTAGGGTGTAGAGGGTTAAAGATCGTAATCGTTAGTTTAATCTTACTTGAGGAATCAGATAGTCAGGTAATGAGTTTTCCTATGGAATAATACGATCATAGTGAGTGATACATTTGGCTGGGCTGCCAGAATCTACATGGCTTTAACAAGGAACTCCCCAGGGGACCGAGAAAAAAAAGTAAATTACATTTGATAACATTGAATATGATATTACATGACATCACTTATGAAAGTGTAAATGAGTGGTAGTTCGAGTTACGAAGAGAATTGATTGCGCAGTGATTTTTTTGTAAAAGTAAGCATTTTTTTTCCCAAAAAAGACCGAAGAGACTCAGAACTAGTAATATCAAAAGGCAGAGAGTTCCAAATTCCAATGGACTTGGAAATCTTTCTGCCAATGGAGTTAATTTGAGGTTTCCAAGAAAGGTATTCGTCCAGAAAGAAAATACCCAAAACTTTTTACTAAATGACAAGATCTCACGATTCAGTGTCAAATTCCTCAGAAAATTCTCAAAATGTACCCACAGTAATCTCCATGGAAGATGCAATTCTCATATAGAAGTATTTGATCTTTCAAGGTTTTTAAAAATACTATTAGACAACTAGACTTGTCAGGTTTGGTATGATCGTCACACTTTACACCTAGTATCTTTAATCCGTTTTAGCTTTCCTCGTTTTATGATACATCTAATTTTTTATGTACATAGTTTTAAATTTTAATTATAATCTTTTAGTATCTTAGATACTGTAGATGGTAGTATCTCAATTTAGTTATTTTTACGTTTACTTTCCAAAACGATAGAACTTAATGCCTGTCTCATATAGGACTATTCGATCCTTCATGGTTTTTAAAAAAATACTGTTAGAAAACTAGACTTGTCAGGTTTGATAAGATCGTCATACTTTACACTAATTAAAATACTTTTGTAAGTATTACTTTCGTAAATACTTTTGTATTTTCAATTAGTTTTAGCTTTCCTAATTTTATGATATGATACATCTAGTCTTATATGAATAGTTTTAAATAATAATCTTAACCACCTATATCATCCCAGTTACTACAGATGGTATTATCTTGATCAAATTCTATTTTACTTTTGTGCTATACCTGCCAAAACTATGGAACTTACACCTGAAGCATATAGAACTATTCGATCCTTCATAGTGTTTAAAAAAATACTATTAGAAAACTAGTCTTGTCAGGTTTGATATGATCGTCATACTTCACAGCTTGTATCTTCAATTAGTTTTAGCTTTCCTCATTTCATGAAATGATACATCTAGTCTTATGTAAACAGTTTTAAATCTTAATTTAACTTTAGGGCATCTTAGGGCATCTGTAGATCATTATCTTCATTTAATTATAGTTATTTTTCTTCTGTGTTATACCTGCAAACTAGCTGGTGAGATTGTTCTCACAAATGCGCAAGTGTATATGTACAATAAACTTGACTTGAACTTGAACTTGTATGTTAGTGGGTAGGTGCAAGGTTAGTGCGTGATTTTTACGAAAGCCGAACGGAAGAGAATATAGGATTTCTAAGGTATTTGCAACTACACAATTAATTTTATAAAATTTTTTTAAAAAATTGACAATATAAAAATTGGTCTAGAATTTAAGAAAGATTTAGCATCGTCAGTTTTATAAATAGGTACAGTCTTTAGATGATTAGTTTACTGGGAAATATGCCTTTTGCGATAGACAGGTTTTACCATCTGATTTAATGGTTCAGCGATGATTTCAAAACAATTAATTATGATATGCATAGGTACATTGACAGCACGAGAGGTTTTTCTGTTTAATTGACTTGCATACGTAATTAATTCAGTCAGAGAGAAATAGATTCTACGGGTCTTGCTTCATCGACGCTTCCAAAGTCATTCCACACTGAAGTTTTTTTTGTTGCATGGCTTTGCTTTGTCACATCTGATTTTTAATGCTGTTGTCAGCTTTAAGACACGATCTATTGGAAGTTTTCCGGAGCTTACCGCAATCCTGTGTCGAGTTGCATCGTCTCTCCAATACAAGCACAGTTCGTCGAGCACACGCAGTGCTGTTTTCAAGCCACAATGAACGTGCCATTTGTCTCACCAACCTAATGGCAAACTCAGTATACAATTGTATTTGAACTTCGTTTCAATGTGTGACATTCCATCCGTTACATAGGATCCAGCTCTAAAGAATTTTAATTATTGGCAGTCTCATATACCTTCGAACAGTTTGACGTGGCTATTTGACTCTCTCCTGATCAGTTTTCTCTTGGTTATATGTTGGTCCATTAAAAGCCGCGCCTGATACCATTATAAAAACTGGGATACGAAACACTTCACTTCACGAGGTGCCAGGGCAGTGGCCCCAAGGCCACTGGGAAACATATTACGAGGAGTATCTAAACATTTCAGAAGTGCTATGCTATTCAGGAATATTAAATGACTTGTTGTGGAAGCAAGGTAATTCAAACTATCCGTAAGATGAGAGGGTATTCCTCGCTAGCTAAATGTAAAGCCATGGGATTGAACAAGGGGTAAGCCTTCTGAGTTTCAATCGCGAAGCTTTTTGGTGGGAAGTTTTTTCCCGACGAGTTTGCATGTATTAACTGTGATTTATTCCAGTCTCGCAATAGCACTGATGCGAAAAAAAAAAGCGATTTCTGCTCTTAATTTCGTTTGTCTTTAATGCCAAGTAAGTCGTAATATTATACGTATGATGCATACGTATGATGCACTGCTTAAATAGCGCTCTCTACTGCGAGGATCGTGCATCATACGTATCTATAACCGCAGTTCAAAATATATGAACTTCATATATTCATCATATCTCGTAATATTATGGAATCAACGAAATTACTAATTTTCGTCTTCCGACCGAGTTGGATGTTCGGGAACTTTTACAAAGACCAACGTGGCAGTTTAAGGCTGTTGTAAGAGTATAAGAGAATGAACTCAAGCGTGAAGATTTTTGCATCCAGGATGCAAAAATTTTCACGATACAAGTTGTATCATCGACAATAATCTCTTCATAATTCCATAGAACGTTCTACTTTTCTTTGCCTAGAATCACAGACAGGTGTCTCGATCCGATAACCGACGTTCTTCGTTTGCTGATATTTTTTGTAAGATACCAAGGACTTACATTTCATAATTGAAGTGATTCTCGCCCGAAGAAACTACAAATACACCTCATTTGAACATAGTTAATAGTCCCTCTATTAACTATGATTTGAAGTAATTTAACTTGCCCCATATAAGATCATCGAACCAGATGAACGTATTCTATCATAATTCAACTATAAGTGACGACACTTTTTAACTATTCCAGTCTAACTGGTTCAACTGAATAAAGGCTGATAGTTTCTAAAGAAACTGTTTGGGGCTGCGTCGGTGGGGGTAACGAAAGGGCTAACGCTCTAAACGTCGATGGGCTAACGCTCGAAACGTCAGCTTTTATAATCGTAACGGTGGCCACTTTACCATTTCAACTTTGTTGATATATTCAAATTATTAACTGGTTCAACTATAATGTGGGACC